AGACGATGGAGGCTGGGGACAGGGTTGGGGAGGAGACAGACACTTCCTGTTAGGATAACCGGACTTTCTGACCAAGGTGTAAAACTATTTGCATCCATCAGATTAAAAAAATAATAAATAGATGGACAACACTTGGTGCCATCCATATATTTAGACGCTGAATTATGAATGTTGAGATGAATGGGTACAGTCTGAGCTGGGTCCATCCTTTATGGAGGGTGATCTGAAGTTAGATGTCTATTTAATTAGAACTACACATGCTCTGTGAGACAGAAAACCCAATGTGAAGTGTCAACCCTAGAGAAACAATCACGTGGACACACAGACATGAAGTGAACAAGCATGGTCATCTCTAGAGCCCTATCTCCCTGCCCCCTCGACCAGCTCTTTATCTACTGACATTTGCTCTCTGCATTAGGTCCCGGTTTTAAACTGCATCCGTGGGAGAGGTAGGGTGGAGTGTGTTTACTTCCCCTCTTATTATTTTACTTGGAAATGCAAGTCCCTTTTGGTGTTATTGTTTAAGCAGTAGGATTGCAAGGCAATTTTTCCTGTAATTTTTTGACCTTTTAGTATATCCCATATGAAAATCTTTTTAATGACTCTGAGGTCTCTGGCTTTTTCCTGGGATAGATGGGGGCATTGAGAAGGATAATGGTCTGGGGTAGGCGAGGGGTTGACAGGTTGAATTATGAGTACTGAGATGTCCAGCCAGGTTGTCCACAGATGGTTGTGGCCGGGAGTCAAGGGGAGAGAGAACATCAGCAAACAGGAGGGAATCCATGAGGTGTCAGGTCCGTGTAAGGGCGGGGGGGGGGGGGCACGGAGACAGAAGCGGCGTGAGGAGCACAGGAGAGATGGGGAGCGGATGCCAGCTCACCGCACTTGCCCAGAAAGGACTGTGGAGGGGAGGATACCGCTACAAGGAAAGGTAGGTGTAAACAAAGTGGGCTTTCTTGAAGAATTCAAGACATATGAATCTATTCTTAGCACACCAAAAACATCCGTTCCTGTTGTATTCTACTCAAGTGAACTTGAGTACATTGAAATAACTGTCATTAAGTGACAGCCTCTTTGAGTTCATTGCCTCCAGAAAATGTCCCTGACATCCAAAGACAAGAGGGCATCCACCTACACTCCCATGACCCACAGGGGCCACTTGTCTGCTCCTCGAGGCCGCCCCGTGCCGTGCAGGAGTATGTGGAACATTTGTGCGAAGAATGAATGCGCGAATGACTAAGTCGGAGAGTCTAGAAAAAGGGTCAGAAACCTGACTGCGTCACTGTCACCAGTCCGATCTGGATGGAACGAGCTGGACTGGAGGCTGAGGCTGGTTATCAAATGACGCCTCAGGTGAGGGTGGAGATTTGTCCAGCTATTGTCCAACATATCTACCATGCGCCCTGGCTGGTTTGGCTCAGCGGTTAGAGTGTCAGCCCACAGACCAATGAGTCGCAGGTTCGATTCCGGTCAAGGGCACATATCTCAGTTTCAGTTGTCCCCGGCCCTGGTCGGGTCATGCGGGAGGCAACCAGTCGATGTGGCTCTATCACACAGGTTTCTCTCTGTCTCTCTCTCTCCCTCCCATTCTATCTGATAATAAGTAGAAAAAAATATCCTCGGGTGAGGAATAAAAAAACAAAAACAAAATACCATGTGACCACAACTATACAGAAAATAAATTAACACATGCACACACACAAAAGAAAGACTAGAAGGAAGGTCCAACAGGGATAACACCGAGAGAGTGGACTCATAGGTAATTATTTTTTTCGACATTCTTTCTGAATTGTACCATTTCTACCCGAGAATCTCCAGCTGCTTAGTTCTAACTCTAATCCTGTGCACGGAAAGCTGTCATTCAGACTCTGGCCAGACTAGCCAGCAGGCGGGCATAGAGTCGGGCACACAGAGCGAGTTGGCCGACCCCGGCCGCTCACGGGCTCTGGCACGTCAGCAGACGGAGGTGTCCTGTGGCAGATGAGCACAGACAGGCACTGGGCTTGCCGGCACCTCCGGAGGTGCCCTGTGAGGCCCAGCCCACTCAGCAAGCTGGGCTCTTCTGTTTAGTGCAGCCACCACCGAATTCTCCCAGCTTCCCTTGCTGACGAGTTTCTCATGCCTTCGAGGAGGGAAGACAGAGTGGAGGAGAGGGGGCAGGTGTGCTGGGGATAAAGCAGCTTATCCCCGAGGCAGAACGGCGCACCCATCCGGGACACCTTAATACCTGACTTTACGATTCATACCCCTGGAAGGGGGCAGGGAAGATGGCAACCCCTCGGGAGTGCTGGGCACAGTGCCTGCCACTACGAGATAATAAACAAGCAATAATTAGGACTTTCTGGAAAACTGAGTAATACTGTTATTAAAACTTTTATGATCTGTATGTTTTCTATAAATTGAATTTCCTTCAGCTGCTATCACTTGGGAGCGATGAGGATGGAAGTAATAATCATGAATTAAACCACAAGCAGACCCGATGTCCGGGAACGGTGCAGACACCGCTGCACTGCGGGGCCAGCAGCAGGGACCCCGAGATCCCGCTCCGGTCTGCACGAGGCAGCTCTGCACCCCCGGGTCCTGGGGGCACCAGGCAGCTGTCCTAGCACTTGTCCTGCAAGTACCACCCCCTTTGGGAGGGTTGGTTCCCGAAAGATGGTGAGTAATTCGTCCCCCCTCTTCACACTGAAATGAAGGTCAGCGCCAGTGCCCAGTAACCTAGATTCTTTCCGTCTGGAGTTCATCCCAACAGGCTGTTTCCGTGGCTCAGAGAATGTTAAAACACATAAATTGTCAAGAAAATTCTCTTCTGCTACTTAAGCAAAGCTGTCAACGGATACATCCTATGCTGTATTTTATAAACCAAAGAAAAAACACAGGGCCTTTAACTAGAGCCCAACCAAGTGTTTGAGGGCGAGCGCGGCCTAAGGGCGGGCCAGGCCGAGGAGGCAGGCGTCACTGGGGTGCCGCTCAGCGCCGAAGCTTCTCTCCCAGCACATGAACATCGAGGGTGTCCTGCATTTAAGTCCTACTCACTCAGCAAGCCCTTGAGGGACATTTTCAATTCCAGGTCATGAAGGTGGATAGTGCTGATGTCGGGGTTTTATGTGCACAGAGCAAGCCCCCTTCTCCCTCCCCATTTCAACCAAAGGCGTCTGGATCACTGTAAGTAGCTTCAATAACCTCGCTGGGAACTGGCAGGGTGGATCCTCAGCTCCTGCCTGAACCTCCCGAGCTCCCGTGCTGACGGTTCCTGGGTAGTGGCAGCGGCAGCATTAGCACAAAACCTCGGTGGAGCAGGGCCAGGAAGAGGAGGCCTTTTCCTGGCACTTCTTCCTGGAACCATCTGCATCCTTGGGTGTCACCTTGGGACCTTAAAGCACTGCGCACATGGCATTTTACTAACTTCCGAAGACAGAGACAGAAAAAAACGAGAACTTCAGACCTGTCTTCAGGTTGCCTCGTGTGAGCTAACTGCTGCCTCCGGTGTGTGCCCGCACCTTGCTCTCAGATGCGAGGTCTTTGGGAGAACCAGTGGGTTCTATTTCCTTTCGTCCCACAATGTAGTGCTTAAGTGGAGTCCTGGACTTAGGAACTGCTTAAAATACCCTGAAAGCTTTTTTTATTTTGTTTTAAATCATCACTCAAGGATATACTCACTGATTTTAGAGAGAGAGGAAGGGGGGGAGAAAAACATCAATATGAGAGAGAAACATCGATCTGTTGCCTCCCACACGTGCCCTGACTGGGGATCAAGCCTGAAACCTATGTGCCCTGACCAGGAATCAAACCCGCAACCTTTCCATGTACAGGATGACGCTCCAACCGACAGAGCCACACCAGCCAGGACCTGAAAGGTTTTTAAAAAATAAAATTTGCCATGAAAACTTTCTTCCTAGGGCCCTCGTCACATGTGTACACAACTCGTTTGTGCAGGTGAATTTTCTGGGATCCTGATCTCCATTAAGGGATGCAGCAGCCAAGGGAAGACTCTCCAACTCCACTGCAAAGACCCATTTCCAACCGACTACTCCTTGCATCTGAAACACTGTAAATAAAAAGTGACAAACGTCACAGACCTGGGAAAGTCACTGATTCTGTCTCTGCTCATTTGAGAAGACAGTTGCTTTAGCGAATTCTTGCCTTCTGCCCCAGTCTCAACACTGTCTCCCTTTTGGGACAGGGAGCTAAAGCCCACCCTCTTGAGGGGCTCACTCTTGACAAGGGCTTTGACTCCAATACATAGGGTGCTTCCTACATGACACCGTGCCCTGTGAGCCTCAGTATCAAACGGGAGAAACCTCCTCCTTGGGGGTAAAGATCGGGACACTAAGGGATAGAGGAGCCAGACGCTTCCTTTAAAACCAAGAAGAACACAGGCCCCGGCAACGCCTCCACCACCAGAAGCATATGCCCGGCATCCTGGGCCTCACAGAGCTCCCGGGCAAACCACCTCCCCTGCAAGACAAGAGTGGACAACTTCCGACTTCTCGGGACTTGCACCAAACCCTGGGTTCATTTCCCCTCTCTACCCTCCGTTCCTAACGATCCAACATGTGAACGGTTCCACGAGAGTTTTTAAAATTTTTTTGGTTAATCCTCACCTGAGGGTATTTTTCCATTGATTTTTAGAGTGAAAGGGAGGGAAGGAGAGAGAGAGAAACATCAACGTGAGAGACACATTGACTGGGTGCCTCCTGCACGACCACCACCATCAGGGCCAGGGATCAAACTTGCAACCCAGGTACATGCCCTTGATCGGAAATTGAACCCACAACCCTGTGGTCCGCAGGCTGAGGCTCTAACCACTGGGAAAACCAGCCAGGGCTCCATGAGGAATTCTGACTTTTTCTTCCAGTTCTCCTGCAACAAGGTTTTTAACCCAAGTGTTTACATACTTGGTGGGTGTCCAGCAAGCGAGTCCCACTAACGTAACTGCCCGCTGTCCCACCCTCCCCAAACAAGCTCAGACCAGGCCGCTCCAGGGCTGGAGCTCTTACCAGTTCCCCGGTGGGGCAACCTTTTCTCCATCGTCCGACTCTCCTTTCTGGGGCCCGGGGGTGGCACGCCGCTGTCCAGCTCTCCGGGGCTGACATCAGGGGGTGAGGATGGGTTTGGGAGGGTGAGGGTCTGCAGAAGCGGCTTCCTGGGCAGGGGTGGCTTGGAGCCCGGCTGCTCAGATGACCGGACCCTCCCCCTCCCCTGGCTGCTGGGGGCTCTGGCCCCCCGAACAGTGGGGGTTGTCCCCACGTGACACTTGTCATCTTTCGAGGGCAGAGTCAGTCCTCCTTTGTCCAGCCGGACCTCAGCACTGTACCTCTTGATTCCTTTCGCTTCTGACAGGGACACATCTCTGTGTTTGAAAGAGAGCGACGTGGACCGGAGCTTGACGGGGAAGGGGCTTCTGTCCCCACACGTGAGCGGCTCCTGGGCAGCGGGGCCGGGCTCTCGCGGGGCTGGTGTGGTCACTGAATCCTGGTGGTTCTGCCCCGGCCCAGCCTGGCTGGCCACCCTGTTCCCTGAGTCCGGAGAGCCACACTCAGCTGGTGAAGGTGGCTCCTGAGGGTCCAGTTTTCGGTTCTGGTCCTCCAGAGGTGCCTGGAGGTCGTCGAGGGCGCCCTCGCTCCTCCAGGCCAGGCTGCTCCTCAGCAGGGGCAGCTGGACAGTGGAGGGAACAGCAGTGGGGCCTACGGGGCCAGGGTGCCCTAGCCGCTCTCTGTGGCCTGTGTGTGGCCACGCGCGACCTGAGGACACGGAAAACTTCTTCACGCCCCGTGACTTGCTGCCTCCTCTCCCAATTTTCTGCTCCGGTGCCTCCCTTTCAGGGACCCCCTGTGGGGACTTGGCCTGTTCAGCCCTGGAGGTCACCCCGGGGGCAACTATGTCCAGGGCACAGGAGGTGGGCTCCTCTGCAGGTGACTCGGAGGCGGGCAGGGTGGGGGACACACTGAGGCTCCTGTGCACCGCTGGGGCCTTGTGCTTCAAGCAGCTCTTGGGGGCAGGGGAGCTTGGGGTGTGGTCTTCAGGACCTTCTGTCTCTGCTCCCTCGGCCCTGGGCGCTGCCAGCATCAGCTCCGCCCCCTTCTGCACACTGGGGTCTGGCCCGTCTGGACCAGGGGGTGTCTCCAAGGGCATGGTGGGGCCCGTCCCAGGTGTCATGTCTTCCTCAGGGACGTGGGGAGACAAACTCTCAGCGTCTCCAGAAGCACAAACCACCTCAGCAGCTGTGTCCTCGGACAGTGGACCTGTGCTTTCAAGGGAGAGCTCCTCCCTGGGAGTCTTGCTGTGGGGCTCAGGGCGCGGCGGGGAGCCTTCCGGCAGAAGCGGGAACTCCGAGCTCGGGGCTGGGCCTGACGTGGGCTCTGTGACCTCCGGGCTGGCCGGGCGGCTCAAGACCTCATCCCCAGGGGAGCTCTCCTCCTCAGCACTGGCACACAGCGCGGGGCAGTGCTGTAGGCGTGCCCGTCTTGCACGGGGTCCCCCCGGTGGCAGCAAGGTGGCCGGTCCCCTGGGCTCAGGGCCTCTGTCCAGGACCCCATCCTCCTGTTTGGCACTGGGCTTCTCCTCTGAGCTGACCAGGGGTAATGGCTTCTCGTCGGACTCCTCCTCCTCGGGGGTGCACGTCAGGTCGCTCAGGGATTCGGACTGTGCCCGCTAGGAGAGACGAGGAGGACAAAGACAGCATCACTGTGTCGAACATCAGGAAGCCCGCATCCTCCCCATTTTGTTCAAGGCTTCATGTCTCAGAACCTGGCACCTGAGTGGACAATTACCTCCGGGTGTCCTTTCCTAATCCCTCCCTTCCTGATCTATTTTGGATTCTTGCCTCACAGGCTCGGTTTTCAGCAGAAGGGTGGCAGCTACGCCCACAAAATAAACACTGCCTGAGGCTCTCGTGGCCACGCCACAGAACTAGTGGACGGTGCTCTACAGGGGAAAGGGGACCAACACCAGGTGGAGGCCTCACACCTCATGCTCTCCACTCATTCCTTCTTCTCTCCTCAACCCATCCCCGTAGGGAAAGGATTACCGGTCCCTTTGCACCCGGAGACCGGGAGCTCAGCCAGGTCCACGCGAGGTCAAGGCAGAGCTCACGAGCTCAGGACAGAGGCGCCTTGTGGCTCCGGGCTTCCTCAGGGCCCCCCCCCCCAGGCTCTCTCCCAGGTCTGCACCGGCACAGCGAGGGCAGACTGGTCTGCCTACAACAATTCATCCCATGCCAAGCAGGATCAAGTCCCACAGCTTACAGGATCAAGTCTGCACTTTTCAGCTAAATTTAGTCTTCTTTTCCACTCTTAACTGGTTTCTCCAGCTCCCTACTCAGGTCCAGCCAGGCCCCCACTACTGTATGTACCAGACTGGGGGTCTGGGTGATTCCCCGACCCCTGCAGGGTGCTCTACAAACACCCCCAGGATGTCTCAAATCCACTCCGGCAGAAGGCCTTGCCTCTTCCATGAGGCTTGCGACTGTCCCTTCTCTCCTGGAACTTGACTCATTTTTCTTCTGAAAGGTCTCTGCAACTTAGGCTTGGTCCCCCCACCATACGCAGTCAGTTCCTGCTCTCTCAGGAAGGAGAGCAGATCAAGGTAATCATGAATCATGCAGGAGCTGTGTGTGAAAATGACTCCAAGGTTGAGGGTGTGGAGACAGATATTTGCAAAAAGTTCCTGACACGGGACTTGGAGCGCCCCAGGGGATGGAGAAGCACCTCTCCCCTCCCGCCTTCAGGCCGCCTCTGCGTGTGTTTGAATAGGTTTCTGTTGTTTGTTGATGTTATTTTTAACATTTCCCAGCCAGCATTTCCTTGCTAAAAGAACACAGGACAACTGGGATGTTTGAACAATACCTAAGCTAATTCTTCCGAGCAGCACAATTCCATTCCTTAGGGCACAAAAAGAGGAAGATGTGTTAGGAAATCTATAGGAGAATTTTCAAAAGCTACAGGTACAGAGGCGTTGCGGGCCTTTTGCCATTACAGGAAATCATTGATGTTGAAACCTGTTTAAAATACAGTCATATTTTAAAATGCTTGGAACCAATCTGGCTGGTGTTCCCAGTGGTTAGAGCCTAGGCCCTCAGACCAAATGGTTGTGGGTTTGACTCCCGGTCAAGGGCACGTATCTGGGTTATTGGTTCAATCCCCGGCCCTGGTCAGGGTGTGTGCAGGAGGCAACTAATCAATGCGTCTCTTTCACATTGATGTTTCTCTTTCTCTCTATCTCTCCCCACTCCTCCCTTCTACTCTCTCTAACAATCAATGGAAAAAATATCCTCAGGTGAGAATTAAAAAAATAAATGAATAAAACAAACAAAATGCTCGGGATCCACACTGAGTCGGCACGTGGCGGGAGCAGGCCTCCATGGGCCCGTCCAACTGGAGGCTCTGGCAGCTCCCAGGAGGCTCGTGGAGGGCAGGCAGGGTGAAGGCTGGCAGGAAACCTGGACTCCAGAGGAGGCCCAGACCCCGAACAGAGGCTGTATAGGGAACAAAGCGGCTTCAGCTCAGCTGGGCGCTCTGGTCAGGTGCAGCAGCGAGGATGCTCATGCCCGCTCCATCTCCACCTCCTCCCACTCGCCTCCCCGGGCCTCCCAGGAAAGCAGAGGCAGAGGACCACTGCTTAGCTTGCACTGGGATGGAGACCATCCTGGCTGCCTGCTCATCTACCTCCTCCCACCAGGACGAATCTCGGGGCAGCGTCCACATAACCTCCAGGCAGAAGACACGGCTGATGAGCAGTGCCGGGGTGAGGGAGGCTGTTTCTGGTGAGACCTGGGACTTGTAGCTGCCAGCTCTGCCAGCCCTGCGACCTTGACCTAGTTACCTCGTCATACCATTCCTGGTAGAGGGTGTGCATTATGCTCCCTGCCTCTGGCACTGGCTGGGCTGGGATGTGGACTGGCTGGTGTGGGGAGATGCTTGCGTAAACCTTTACGGGTGTTCTGCTCTGGCTGGAGCCACACCCAGGGCCCAGTGCGGTGCAGCGTGACAGACGCTGAGATCGAAACCTGCGATGTCTTCCCTGACCTCTGCTTCAGAGGGGCAGACCGGTTCAGCCAAATGCACACTTGAATGTGTTGTTCAAACTTGAAATAAATATTACAATCTTTTTTTTTTATCCTTACCCGAGGACAATTTTTCCATTCTTTTGTTCAGATAGAGGAAAAAAGAGAGAGAGAGAGAGAGAGAGAGAGAGAAACATCGATGTGAGAGGGACACAATGATTGGCTGCCTCCCACACCACCTAACCAGGGCCGAGGACGAATTGCAACCAAGGTATGTGCCCTTGACTCATGACTCACTGGTCCATGGGCTGGTGCTCTAACCACTGAGCAACCACCCAGGGTAATATTACAGTCTTGAGAGCCAAGGATTTCTTTTAACTAGGCAAGATCAGATGTTTAAGGTAAGAAAAACCCTTCTACTTTCTTCTAGAGTGCCAACAGAGTCAAAGCCTAGAAGAGGTGAAGGACAGTTTACCCACTGATGACAGCTGGAGCTGCCTAGCTGGGCATGGACGGCTGTCCTGCCCAAATGGAGGAAGGACTGGGCCGCAGCAGGAGGGAGCTACAGTAGAAACTCTGCAGGGCCCTGAGCCTGGGGTGGGGGGGTGGGGGTGATAAGAGAAAGCAAGCCCAAACATTATGGGGGACCAGAAAAGCAGGGGAAACTTGGATCTCATGGTCCAGTGAAGCTCAAAGGGGCAGTGAACCTCCACAGATGCCCCGGGGTTAGGAGGGCGGCAGAGGGGCAGCGTGGTGGCTCTTCCCCAGCAACTGAGCAGGATGGAGCGTCAGAAAGTATCTCAGGCCCGGCCGGTGTGGCTCAGTGGATTGAGTGTCGCCCCATGGACTGAGAGGTCCCAGTTCGATTCCCCGGTGAGGGCACGTGACAGGGTTGTGGGTTCAATCCCCAGTAGGGGGCGTGCAGGAGGCAGCCAATGGATCTTTCTCACATCGATGTTTGTATCTCTCTCCCTTTCTCTCTAAAAATAAAATAAAAAATTAAGAGAGAAATCATCTTAGTCCCCACGGGGCGCCATGCTACCAGGAAGGTCCTCATGGTTGGGAAGAGGGAGCTCATGACCAAAGGGCAACGAGGGCTTTGGACAGTGAAGAACAGAAGCCTCCAGCTGAGGACCACACAGTGACAATGGTGACCAGGGGCCGGATACCTCTGCCCATTCAGAAAATATGAATATCCCCCAAAACTTCACATATCCATGCCACCCCCGCCGGAAGGGCAGGGAGTGGAGGGGGCGGAGATATGGAATGAGGAAGGACTATTCATCCAGGCTGAGAAAATTAGACTTTCTATTATTCTAAAAAATGTGTTTCGAGAGCTAAGTCAAATTCAAAGGTGAAGAGGGAGAGGTACAGCTCTTCTCCCCCCAGCAGGCAGAAAGAAGGGGTGCTGCACTCCCCCGAAGGAGCCGGCTTCCCTCTGCTACCGAGCCCTGGCCTGGCTGTGGTGGTTACACCCCTCGCCAGGGCAACAGACATCCCTGTGGGAACGAAGCCCACACTGAGGGCCGGAGGGAGCTGGCTGCGTCCTGCCCTGTGGCCCACTCAGCACCGGACAGTCAGGTCAGAGCTCTCGGGCCTTGTCGAGTCCCCACAACTCTGAGCCTTTACCTGTAAATGCCCTGGATATGCAAGCATCTGTCCAGTCCCCTGACCCCAGCTTGCATGCGGGCACACTGCCCTGGAGGTAACCAGAGCTCACTTCTCCAGCATTCGTCCTCTCAAAACTCAACCTTTTAAAATTCATGCCAGCCCTGGCCGGTTTGGCTCAATGGCTGGAGCGTCGGCCCGCAGACGAAGGAGTCATGGGTTTGATTCTGGTCAAGGGCCTGTACCTCGGTTGCGGTTTGCTCCCCAGCCCTGGTTGGGGTCTTGCAGGAGGCAGCCAATCGATGTGTCTCTCTCAGAGCGAGGTTTCTCTCGCTGTCTCTCCCTCCCTCCCTCCCACTCTATCTGAGGATAAATGGAAAACTATCCTCAGGTGAGAATTAAAAAAGAAAAGAAAAACTCATGCCAAGCCTCTAGAATGAGTTTCAAAGCGCACTCCACATGCCCAGAGGGAACCCCGATCCCCAGGGAGTCCCTGACATCCGGAGCGATCCCGCGCCCGTCTGCAGCTGAAGCACCTAGCTTGTCCTGGGCACTTCATCAATCCCAGTCCTGTCTCCAGGGACGAAGGGAGAGAAGGTTGGTCTGCGAGCATCTTTCTTGGCGCTGTACGCCCTTTGGCCAGGCTGGCCCACACCCTGCTTCTCCGCTCCTCCAGGGCCGAGGCAGTGTAGGCACCAGCAGGCAGGGGACAAGTCCTTGGCCCCCACAACAATGAGCTGTCTAGTGCTCCAGGCGCATGCCCAAAGAGGGGTCTGTCCTTGCAGGGGAACATTCCTTGCTACTAAGCAGGTCCTCACCCAAGGCAGATGTACTTTCTAGGGGCTCAGCTTCTTCTTCTGTCATTCACTATTTGTTTATTCATTCATGCATTCACCAGCTGTTTGCTGGATATGGGCCCTGTGACTAGCTTTGCTCCAGGGGCCAGAAGTGCAGCTGAGACAAGGTCTCAGAGAAGACAGGCAGCAAACAAGTGAGACACACACTTCCGAACGGCACCTGCGTGTGGCCAGTGCTGTGAAGGACGTGAGCTGGTGGCAGGAAGGAAGGGACGCTCAGGTGAGCCTCTGTGGGGAGAGGACCTCTGAGCTGAGACCCAAGGCTGGGAAGGAGCTCCGGAACAGCGTGTCGCGCAGGAGATACAGCAGGTACCAGGCCTGAGGTCGGAGACAGCTCGGAGAGCTCAGGAGGCAGGAAGGATCCCGGAGTGTGGAGTGTGGAGTGTGGAGTGAGAGAGAGCAAGAGGAAGTAGGCACCCAGGACTCGCGTGTGGACTTCACACTGAATGCAGTGGGAAGGCAACGGAGAACCAGGACACAGCAGTATGTTGAGGAAGGAAGGAAGGAAGGAAGGAAGGAAGGAAGGAAGGAAGGAAGGAAGGAAGGAAGGAAGGAAGGAAGGAAGGAAGGCTTTATGCAGGGGAGAGACATATTTAGGGAGAGATGTATCTAATTTATGTTGAAAAGACAAGCAACTCCACCTGATGCAGCAGACTAGTGGGGCTGGGAGTCAACTCGGAGGGGCACTTGACCCCGAGGAGAGGCAGGGAGGCAGGGGTGGGAAAGAAGCCCAATTACCGAAGACAGGCGCCTCATTTTGCTTGACCGCTGGTTTCGGGGCTTAACCAGGAGCTTGTGCTTAGCTGCAGAGTTGTCCAGGCAGGAGGAGAATTCTGGGGGGTAACTGAAATCAGCCACAGGCGCCACACTGCTGTCCAAGGTCCGGGGCAAGACAGGGGCATCGCCCATGTGCCCAGAGGAGAGTTGGTCTGGAGAGGGCGGCCGGGACGAGGAAACCAAAGAGACCTTCACGAGAGAAGGAGCAAACAGCGAGCGTTAATTCTCAACATGAGTGGGTGCAGCCAAAAGCACTTCAACTTTGTCCTTTCGCTGTGCCCTGTCTTCCCACAAGAGGACATGTTTCACAACGAGTCTCAACAGGGAGGGTCCCAGGATAAAGGGCTGGGAGGGCAAAGCGCTGGGCCAGTGCCTGGAAACCTGCCACTCATTTCGCAGGCCCCGCAGCCTGTGCCCCAGGCCCCGCAGCAGGACAACTGCCGTCACCCCCCACAGCTGCGGGCGCACACGCTCCAGATAAGAGCTAATTCCTTTGATGACGCACACCAGCTCGATTTCTCCAAGGCAGAGTGGGCTGGCCCTGTCTCTGGAAGCTGAAAGGGTGGCCCGGTGGTGTGACTTACAGGCAGGGGCAGGGATGTGCCGAGCCCCCCAGTGGGCAGTCCGCCACTGGAGCTGTGGTCTGACTCATCCCAGAAGGTTTCTGTATCTTTGTGCAATCTCTTGGAGAACTCTGGTTTTGAGTTACCATCTGTTAAGTTACAATATTTCACTAGTTTAAACCTCAGAAGAGAATAAGTGACAGCCAAGGGCAAAAGTGTCGCCAGGGAGTCTGGCTGTCACATGCAAGAATGATGGCAACACTGGACTTGGCAAACTCCTCCACCAAGTGAGGTCTAAGAGGGTCTCCCACAAAGACACTTGTCAGGAGAAGGTAATGGGAGGCGCCACTGTACACCATGACAAGCCCAGCCCGGGTGACGAGCGAGGTGCAGAGACAACCTGGGAGGGGCTGGCTTGAGTCGTAGTACCCTGGCACCTATAAACAAACACACCTTCTAGTCTAGCATGGTGCTCAATATTAGTGTCAAGCTTACGTGGTTTTTCCAGGGTTGTTTATTTCCCAATTCTTTTACTGTAGTAAAATACACATTAGATTTAGCAGCTTAATCACTTTCAGGGTGCGGTACAGTGGGATTAAGTGCACCCACATTGCTGTGCAAACATCACCGTCCATCTCCAGAACTGTTCCTCTTCTAAAGCCGAAACTGCGCCCATTCAACACCAGCTCCCAGCCCAGCAGGTGTGGCTCAGTGGCTGAGCATCGACCCATGCATCAACACCAGCTCCCAGCCCTCCCCCACCCCCTGGTACCACCATCTCCTTTCCATCTCCATGAATTTGTCTTCTCTCGGTGCCTTGTCGTGGAACCTTACAGTATCTGTCCTATGGTGACGGGCTTATCTCTCTGAGCATAATGCCTTCGAGGTCTGTCCAGGTTGCAGGAGTTGAATTCCCTTCCTTGGTGTGTACAGACCACACTTGTTTATCCACTCATCTGTCAGGGGACACAGGTTGCTCCCACGTTAGGGCTGTTGTGAATAATGCTGCGATGAACATGGGGGTACAGATATCTCTTTGAGAACTTGCTGTCAGTTCTTTTTTTTTTTTTAAATCCTCACCCAAGGATATTTTTTCCATTTATTTTCTGACAGAGTGGGAGGGAGGGAGAGAGAGAGATACCGATGTGAGAGAGCCACACCGACTGATTGCCTCCTGCACAACCCCAACCAGGAGACGAACCGCAACCGAGGTACGTGCCCTTGGCCGGAATCGAACCTGCGACTCTTTTGGTCCGAGGGTCTACGCTCTAACCGCTGAGCCAAACTGGCCAGGTGCTGTCAATACTCAGAAGTGGAATTGCTGGGTCATACGGTAGTTCTAGTTTTAGTTTTCTGAGGACCCTCCATACTGCTGTCCACGGTGGCTGCGCTGTTTCCCTTGGCTAACACCAGTGCACTGGAATTCCAATTTCTCCACATTCTTACCAAAATGTGTTTTTTTGCTTGTTTTGATAGTGGCTGTCCTACTGGGTGAGGTGGTGTCGAGTTCACATTTTAACTCAGGACCATAATTTTCTGTATGCACAATGATTCGGGGATCCGTCATGGAAAGCGTCTCGGGAGGGGCCGAGAGCGGGCTCCGGGCGGTGCGCACACCTTGCTCAGGTGCCTTCCCCAGCCCCGGAGCCCCGCGGAGCAGGTGCGCAGCAGCCTCCCGCAAACCAGGGCTGGGGCACAGAAGGAAGTCACTGCTGGAGACAGGCTCTGACGTAGGGACAGCCCGAGAGGGCACTGCCTTCTCCCTGTTCACATCAAGGTCCCTTACATTTTCTAAGGCGGGAACAAGGTTTATTTGTCAGTTGGGAGAAGACAGCTACAACAATGAGGGAAAGAGGCCCTGGCCAGTTTGCCTCAGTGGTTAGAGTGCCGGTCCCACAGGTTCGATTCCTGGTCAATGGCACATGCCTTGGTTGTGGGTTCGATCCCCAGCCCCGGTCAGCTTTGTGTGGGAGGCAACTAATCGATGTGTCTCTCTCACATCGATGTTTCTTTTTTCTCTCTCTCTCCCTCTTCCCACTCTATCTGAAAAATCAATGGAAAAATACCCTCAGGTGAGGATTAACAAAAAACAAATAAGGAAAAGGGGTTATAAGTGGACATCATCTATTTTAGTTCTCTTGTTTTAGCTACTCAGGTTCTTATGGAAATAAAGAAAAAGTATTTTTAAAGCAAACCACAGGATTCCTGGCAGAACGTCCTCTGTACCTGCGGTTCTGGCTTCTCCTCTCGCAGAGGATGACTCAGGAAGTCACCTCAGACCGAACCCGCCGTGACTTTCCCAGGTAGTCCCCCTTCACCGTCACCAGCAGGATGGTCCCTGTCAGAATCAAACAGAACGCTCACCTCCCCCTTTGTCCACAGGAACAACGTACATCCACACTTGGTAAAACTATGTTTTGCTGACAGGGATTCAAGAGAACAGAAACATGAGCTGCTTCGCAAAGTAGTGAGTCCAGAAATGAGAATGATCACTTTTGTGACCAAGGGCCTCTGGTCACCTCTCTGTCCACCCGGAGGACAGGCACGCCCTGCCTCCTCTCCAGCAGGGCGTGGGCATTTGCTCTGCCTGAGCAGATGGTCCCGGTGCGGCCCACTCTGGCCCACATGCTGGGGCCCTTGGCCAGGGCTTCCCTGTCCTGTGTCCCTGTACACGCCCCGTGCTGGCTGTCACAGTGGGTCTTCCTGCTAGGGAACTGAACTCTCCGCTGTGAGCTGAGGTCTTGGGGTCTGGAAAGACCAACCCCTTCCGGAGCAGGAGAACCGGCAGCTCTGTCTTTGATCACTGAGGCCCAAGGGGAGGAGGGGCGGGCAAGCTGGCCGGCCTGAGCATTCTCGCCGCACCGCTTGCCCCCAGTCACCCATGTACCCCCTGAAACCTGTGCTTCAGGACGATTCTGGAAGTGGATGGTTGAAAAGTCTAACTGTGGGTCTTGGTTGGGGGATGTGGCTCATGGGGCCCTAAGGACATGGCCTGGGGTTTAGAGGCCTTTTCAGGAGTGACCGTGGGTGACAGCTGCTTTAAGGTATTTGTCCTCATAAAGAGGGGCTCGGCCGCTGGGGAGGCGGAGGGCGGCGCGCTCCGGACGGGCCAGCAGAGGGCTGGTGGCGCTGGCCTTTCTGGGACAGAGCCAGCTGGCCTTGGCTGAGGAGAGCGTGGGCACTGCCCACCTGATCCCTCTGATTCTCCCGGACCCTGACCCGGGTGACGGAGCCTGCCCTCGGCTCTGCTCCGTGGCAGTGGGTGCGTCTCCCCTTCTGCCCCCGAGCTGTGTCCCCTCCACTGACCAGCCCTCCCATCTGCCATGCTCTGCCCAGTGTTTCCTACTGAATGAAAGGAAACCTAGAGCAAAACTAGTTTAGATGTAATTTTATCTTAAAAATCACCAAATTAAGTTAATCAGTTGCCAGCTCACAGGCTAATAAAATTTTAAAAAGCGATTCCAGGTATTTCCTGAAAAACTCATTCTGCCAAGAAATAAGACCTTGGCTGTGACATCAAATATTGTCACTAAAGACTTTTTTTTTACAATAATCTTCATGAAATGTCTCTGTCCAGCATGTAAGCCTGTGTGAGATGTCACAGCAGGAAAAAATGAAACAGCCCACAACGCCCCTTGGGATTTAAGATGCCATTGTATCAAATACCACGTATCATATAAACACGTGGGAACATGCTCATTGCCCCCCCTCAGTCGGCCTACTGTGCCCTCAAAACTCTAAGGGCACAAAATATGATCATTGTGTCTTCAAAACCGCCATGATAAAGACTTTATTTTTTAAGTTTTAAATGCTCAGATTTTGGTTTCCTATGAAGCTATGGATTGTTCACATTATCCAATAACTGACAGAAATCCCGGAATGTGTTTTGAAAGAACATTACAACCACGGGTGGGATGCTGAGAAGGATGAGGTCAGCCCTGCCCAGCCCAGTGGGTCTCCCTCCGCCCTCACGGAATCCACGCATCGCGGCTTTGCGGCTTTGGAGCGGGGCTCGCTCCTTAGTGAGTGGAGTCAGAAACAGCCGTTCTGTGCACTGTGTCCCCGCTAAACACAGGGAGCCACGGTGCTGCGAGCAGCAGACAATGCCATGTGATGGGTCAGGGCAAGTGTTCCTGACACACAAATCACGTGTGGACACTGAGGCTGCACACGGAGAGTGCAAAGATGTGTCCGATCGTGATAATTAACGTAAGCAGCTCCAAGCCTGTCAACTTCTCCAGTATTTTAAGGTGTTAAGGGGTGTAGGGTTGGCTTGAGGTCCAAGAAATGGGGCAAACTACCCTGCTGCCCTCTCTTCCTGCTCCTGCAGGTGGGCGGCAGCTGTGGGTAGCCCACTGTCCTCACATCTGCCCGTGGAGCAGGCAGGGACAGGCCCACCCGAGAGCAGAGCTCTGAAGGGAGTTCTGGGGCTGGTTTCCAGTCCGCCACACCGCAGCTGTCCTGTGCCTGTCGTCAGGGACCCTCTGTGCGCCCACAGACGCACACCCAGTGAGTACATACATACTCCTCGCCCTGCCTCTGCAGGGGCTCCTGGGCTTCCGAGCAGCACAGAATCTGCAAGACACTGAGTCACAGTGAAACCCCGAGACCCTGCTGTGAATGGCCCTCGACCAGGGCAGACGTGGCTGCTCCAGGGGTGCACTGGGCAGGGATGTGGCTAGAAAAATGGGTCCTGGCCTTTATTTGTTTCCCACATGCCAGCATCACACGGATAACTCCAGCTCTGTCCAGCCCTCGGCAAGCTTGTCTATAAGGGGAAAACAATCATTTTCTGTGCAAGTATATTGTACGGGCTCAGTTCCTCCTTGTGGATCCCCAGGGGGGAGGGAGGCATCCAGGATGAGCCCCCTCCCCCGGCCAGGAGGCCATACACACCTCTCCTGCCCGTCGAACTCTCCCTGCTGCCGCGCTTACCAGAGCCATGCCTCACGTTCCAACCCCTAACCTAATGAGTTCACTGTCCTTCATTCAAATCTGACAGCCCGGATTAGGTCATACGTGTTTACCACACCCTTCTCCCTCCAGCCAGTTTTATGACAACAGAGAACAGGCTCAGAGGTATTTCCTTCTGGTCTGGTCATCTGCTCAGACAGGAAAAACAAGGCATGGAGTTCATTGTGTCAGACTTCTACCCATCATAAAGAATGTTACCAAAACCTTTCTCCCAACAATACCTACATTTCTGCTCAAAGAATGAAAACAAATACCCACTGTGGGCTCTAGTGACCTGGTCTGGATCACCTCCTGCTGCACCAAGCCCGGCCACCCACCATGGGGATGGCACAGGGACCACTGGAGGCCCAGCTGACCTCTGTGTTGGGTGGGGACAGACACATGGGGGTGCAGGCTGCACTTGCCTTTATGGTTGTGCTGGGACCAATGTCGTGCAGCAGGGACATCTCTGGGGGGCTCCTGGGCAGCCCATCATCCTCAGAACTCATGCCGGCGTCATCTCCCCGCTTGGCAGGAAGGCCCCCTGGAGGAGGTGGCGGTCCCATTTTCACATTACACTGTATTTTTAACTGCATTGGAATAAAGAACATTTGCTCTTGTTTTCATCAGCGACTTTATCAGCAAATCCTCCTGCCCCAATTCATTCATTCGGGAGACATCTCAGCGCCTCTGCCGAGGTGCAGCGGCCTGAGCCGACGGACGCCTGCCACCAGCTCTCCACTGTCACCTTGAAAATGAGCAGCGATAACTCAGAACGAGCCACGATCCAGCTGTAACTAACGTGGCCTATCTTGGGAAACTTGTGCTGTGCACTCAATTATACTTGAAAATATATCAAATAAACCAAGCAGGAATAACTTAAAAACATGCATACCAGGTGACGTTGCCAAGGAAACATTTACCTGCAGAGCCTTAATCCGGTCACACACGTTCTCTTGGGAAAACACCCGCACAGGCCGGGTAGGGTCCTGTCCAGACTCGGGAATGAAAATACTGTCGTGTGACAGGGCCCGGCTGCCCAGCGCGCCCCTTGACTCCCTAGGAAAAAAGAGACGCTGTGAACTCTGTTCACTGCCCCCTCCTGGGGTCCTTGGGATGAGAAGCCAGGGGCATGTGGGTCAATGGCTCTGCATGCAACCAGCCAACGGCTGCATATTTTATTTGCTCCTGACTTAGGTTTATACCCAGCCTATCAAATACCATAGTCAACTATTAGGAGCATTGCAGATATCTGAAGTTTGTGTGAATTCTTTTTATTAATAGAAAAACTAAGGTCTGAGGAGGTGTGAGGTCCAGACAGGGGGCCTTGGCTGGCTGGCTGGGTTGTCCGGGAGGATGAGGTCTTTCCTGTGGGCCAACACGCAGCCCCTCAGTGGGCTGCAGGCTGTTTGCACAGCAGGTGCAGAATCTGTCTGACAGAGGCATCCTTCAAAGGTTCAAAACTCACCTCCAAGGCTGGGTGTGACACTAGAACTGCACATCTGCAAAGCCAGGCTCTCTTTTCATCAATGACGTGATCGGTGCAATGCACCTGTGTGCCTCGCTCCTGGGGTACAGGTGGCAGCCCTTGTCACCACTGCCCCAGCCCCTGCCCCAGCTCAAGGCTCCAATTTGGAACTGAACCCACAGGACATTCTCAAAATGTTCTGAGAGGATGTGAGTTAGCTGTTGGGTTTTCCTAGCGGCAGTGGCTGCCTGAACAATAGGTGGAAGGAGGTGACTGTGACCTGATGATGAAGGAAGGAAAGCCTGCCACGACGCCCCCCCCTCCGCCCGGGGCATCCTGTTCTCTGGGAGGCGTTAGGGACTCTTAGGTGTGGCCCTGCTCTCCTACGGATCTAACCGTGCTAGTTAATGATGCTCTCTAACTTCTTTGTAGCCTGCAATAGAGAATTTGCCAGTAGGGAACCCATAGCTCCCAGAAGGGTGTGTCCTTACATTTCTGGGAGGGACTCAGGCCATGCCCAAGTACCAGGCAGGCCCTCCCACCAATGGCAGCTCTTGTCACAAAGATCACAGGCACACCTGGGTTCCCTCCGACAGTGGGAAGCCCATGGCCACACGCTTTGGAAACCACCTCCACTCGGTGGAACTGAGAGTTGAGACAGTGTGAAAAGGCCTCACAAAATGCACCGGCAGAACACAGGGCCGCTCACTACAACCACATTTACGGAAGCTAAAGGCCAGAAGCAGCCCAAGTGTCCTTCAGGAGGCAAACGTGATACAGGGGACTCCGCAGCTGACCAGTGGGTGAGGGGTATCTCTGTAAACTGTATGTGGGCAGCACCAGACTAGACTACGTACAAATAAAAAGCAGAGCACAGCCCTGGTCAGTTTGGCTCAGTGGTTGGAGCCTTGACCTGCAGACCACAGAGACCCGGGTTCAGTTCCCGCTAAGGGCACGTACCTTGGTTGCAGTTTGCCCCCAGCCCCGGTTGGGGTCGTGTGGGTGGCAACCAGTTGATGAGTCTCTCTCACATAGATGGTTCTCTCTCTCTCTTCCTCCCTTTCTCCCTTCCACTCTATCTGAAGATAAATGCAAAAATGTCCTCGAGTGAGGATTAAAAACAAAAAAAAAAGCAGAGCACAGAATGTTTATGGTGCGTTAGCTCAGTATGGGGAAGGGGGTATGAGTGTACATGAACACGTGAACCTATGTGTGTATTTGCTTATATTTAAAAAAATAAAAGGATAAGTAACTAATTGATGAAAATGATTTCTACCCTGGCCAGTTTGGCTCAGCAGTTAGAGCACTGGCCCGCAGACCAAAGAGTCGTGGGTTCAATTCTGGTCAAGGGCATGTACCTTGGTTGCAGTTTGGTCGGGGTCATGCAGGAGGCAGGCAACCAGTCAGTCGATGTGTTCCTCTCACGTCGATGTTTCTCCCTCTCTCTCTCCCTCCCTCCCACTCTATGTAGAGATAAATGGAAAAATGTCCTCAGGTGAGGATTAAACAAAAAAACAAAGACAAATGGGGTCATGTTAAAAGCACCCAGGAGCTAACAGGAAGTGACTCCAACAGCATAACAGGGGACAGTGTGGGCACAGAGATGAATGAAGGCTGCCATGGGCTAAAGCTGCCGAGTGCATAAAGACCCATGTCTTAATAATAACATTCTAGAAAAACAAAATTCACTGGTCACTACCGGAAGTTGCTAGGGTGCCAGGTCATCACTCTGAAGGTCGATCAATAAGAGGATCATTATCGAAGCATTACCATGCCCTTCCTGTACAACCCTATTTGAGAGCCACCAAGGAGCTGATGAAGGAAAGGTCCTCTTCACCGAAGATTCCAGCAGGCACACTCAAAGTAAACGACACAATTAGGAAACCCACCATTCTGCAATGAGATGAGGGATCCAGGCCAGGGGTTCTCAACCTGTGGGCCGCGACGCCTTTGGGGATCGAACGACCCTTTCACAGGGGTCGCCTAAGACCATCGGAAAACACATATTTCTGATGGCGATTCATAACAGTAGCAAAATTACAGTTAAGTAGCAACGAAAATAACTTTATGGTTGGGGTCACCACAACATGAGGAACTGTGTTAAAGGGCCGTGGCATCAGGAAGGTGGAGAACCACCGATCTAGGCAATGACACCAGGAGGTGTTGAAACCATTACGTGAAGATGAGTGGAGGGATCACACTGAGACCCCTGAACCCACTGCTCAGTCTTAGGGTCCCTAGAAGTCGGACAACCAGAAAGCATGTGCCCCGTGATACGAAGTGACAGCAAGTATCCAGGAATGAGTTCAGCCAAGAGAAAGCAAAGCCAGAATGTGGGATATTCTGCAGAGCAACGGACCCTCCTCTTACAGCTAATCGATGACATGAAACAAAAGGGGGTTGTTACAGATTAAGAAACTTAAGAGGCAAAACCACACACGATAAATGGGCATCAACTTTTCAAGCCCTCAGGGTCCCACGGGCCTAGCCAGCATAATGTGCCCTGGCTGATGGAAGTCTTCTGGCCACGGTGATGGCCGAGAAGCTGCTGCAGAGCCCAGAAGACACAGACTCTTGCACTGCCACAGAGGGCCTTTAGGGTCTCACCTGTCCACGCTCTCTGAAAACACCGTCTGCACTTCCAGAGCCCCGTCCCACTCCACCACCAGGCTTCCTTTCCTAGCAGCAACCTGCTGCCGCCAAGCGAGGCCCCCGCTAGGTGCTGGGGATATAAAGATGACAAGGACACCGTCCCCACCTTCCCACGGGCTCTGGTGGTAGCGGGATGGGAAAGTGGACAGGCCACTTCACCCCAGCTCGCCCCTCCTGCTCTGCTCTTGTCCTGTGGTTGGAGGGGCCGCTCCCAGGCCCATCCGCCCAACACCAGGACTGTGTGTTGCTGTTCGGGGGGGGGGGGGGGGGAGCGTCACAGTCTCCCTGGGGCTGGCCCAGTGAAGACATTTAATAATTAGCAATGTTAATACTAATACTAATACTAATACTAGTATTAGTATCAGGGGATACTGCTTTCCCCTGAGTCTGGAGCACACTGCCTAAGACATCTGTGTTCAGTCTTGGGAAACATGCTCACTGCTACCTCCGGAAAAAAAACAAACCAAGAAAACCTGAAAAAAACAAAACAAACAAAAAACCATGAATCTTTCCTCTTCAGTCATTTGGTGCCACCAAGTGGTCAGTGTAATTCTACTCTGTTAAAACCGGTGAGGAGACAGGTGGAAGGTGAGGGCAGGAACCATCACTGGGGTGCCCACAGTGACCCCATCTCAGTGCGGTCTGTCCCTGAGCCCAAGGGTCACTATGCCTCTGAAGAGTTTTTTTTGTTTTGTTTTGTTTTGTTTTTTGGTATGTGCCCCTAGCGGGAACCGAACCTGAGACTCTCTGGTCCGCAGGCCGACGCTCCAACCGCTGAGCCAAACCGGCCAGGGCGCCTCTGAAGAGTTTAATGCTCAATTAAGGGTCCATGTTATTTAAAAGAAAACATAAAAGTTGGTGTGATAACAATTTTTTTTTCTCTTTACTCACAGATATAACTGCTGGAATAACTGAGCATATGTATTCTAACTGTATTTCTGTGAAATACAAGTTATGAAAATAAGCAGACGTCCCCAAATGTTCCTCCTATGGGGCCTGATCTTCCTAAGAACACTACCGGATGAGTTTTCTAAGAGAACAGCAAAGAGCCTTCCCCTGCCTGCTCTCTCGTCTGTCTCTCTCAAAACTTTATTAGATTACTCGGAGTTCAAGCTTCAAGAGATGTATTTCCTAGTGTAGTATCCAGAGCCTCAGAAGAATTCTAGGTCAAATTAAATCGGCTCCTATCCCAATCTCGCACTGCCAGCTGTAGCATCTTGGGCATGTTCTCCAAAACTTCCCTAAAGCTTGGTTTGCTCATTTATGAAATGGCATATCCTACTCCTGTTCCCCAGTAATTGTATAATTTTAATATACGCAGCACCTGGCACACAGCAGGTACCTATATGACCCCCCCAACTTTCTCCATGTATGAAGAGACCCAAAGCACCCCGTCTGCGGGGGCGTCGGCCGTGGAACTCCCTAGGGAGAAGCAGGCTCAGAAACCAGCAGGTCACCATGACAGCGACACCGCGCATTTCCCACGCCCCCTCCGAAGGCTGTGAAATGCCACTTACTGGAGCTCATCCTCCGAGTCATAGCCCACTGGCCCTGCCTCGATGGCCATCACCTCACTCTTCTGACTTTGTTTCCAGGTGCTGCCTCCTGTGGAGGAAGGGGATTCCTTTCTCTTCTTCTTCCCAAAGAACTTCTTAAAGGTTCGGAATTTGGACTTTTTCTTTCCTGTGTGGAAGGAACGCATGTGAGTGCTTACCCAGCCTGTGAGACCCGCGGGGGGGGGGGGGGGGGGGCAAGGTTTCTGTCCACATCGAAGGACCACTCCTGAGAAGTCCGTTCACCACACAGAAGTGCGCGAGGTACACAGCACCCGTGTCTGCACACCTGGAAACAGGTCTTGATCTCTATTTATTTTGAACATTTAATAAAACAGCCAAGAAAGCTCTGGAGCACGATCACAGGATCAAAGCACGAGCAACTTTCCTCTCACTTAAAATCAAGTCTTAATCTCTGAAATGTACAAAGTCAAAAGCAAAAAGTCCCGATGAGCTAAAGACCATGTCAGAACCCAAGCTGTTTTCCAGAATAAGCCCAGTGCTTCACTGAGCGTGGACATGAGCACCACGGGCCGTCAGACGAGGGCCAGCGTCCCGGGCTGAGGTGCTGGCCGGGGCACCCACAGCCCTGCTGGCCCGGACTTCCCCTGAGAAAGACCTTCGCATGACGGTGGCGGTGCTGAGCCGACTCTGCCCTGCTCCGGGGCTGCCGGAATTCACAGCCCTTGCAGACGAGATGTCTCCTGCATTCTCGCCCACAAACTCCATCACATCGGGGACCCTGTGACTGCACATTAGCAGCTGAGCAGAGCTTCTTGCTCTCCTGATCTCTTAAGAGAACTAACAGTACAAGGACGCAACACTGCGGATAACCAGGATGCTGCCTACATCCTGGAAATCTGCTAAAATGATTTCTTAGTGTTTTTTTTATCCTCACCCGAGGACATTTTTCCATTTTTGTTCAGATAGAGTGGGAGGGAGAGAGAGAGAGAGAGAAACATCGACATGAAAGGGACACATCGAGTGGCTGCCTCCCGCACGACCCCAGCCAGGGCCAGGGACTAACCGCAACCGAGGTACGTACCTGTTACTAGACTAGAACCTGCCACTCACTGGTCTGCCGGCCAACGCTCTAACCACTGAGCCAAACAGGCCAGGGCAATTTCTTAGTTTTATAAGTAAATAACTCTGGAAGCTGAGTTCCTTACAAAATAAACAGAATTGTTATATTAAGGCCCTTTTGGGAGGTGTAGGTGATCTCGCCCTCATGTGGAGAATTATTTCACATTACCCTAGTAGGAGTTTGTATAGTACCTCAGGTGGAGCAAATCCCTGCCCAAAGAGAATTTAGTTCTATAGCCAAGACTTCTTACCGTCTAATGGAAGTTTCTTTCCTTTTACAACCACAAAATAATCATGCTGTTCATTGGTGGTCCTCAAAGAGAGTCTATTATTTGGGAAGACTCTTAAGAATTTTTTGCATTTGCCAGGTCACCACCTGGCCTTTGCCTAGCTGACAAAAGGTATGAATCCCTGCAGGTCCGAGCAGACATGAGCCTCCCTGTGCTCCACAGTCAGAGATGCTGCTTCTGGTTAGGGGCAGGGAGAGTGGCCACACAGACCCAGACTCCGCTGAACACTTTCCTTGACTTGCAACAGTTTGCCGGCCATCCACGAGGGGCCTGTTTGTGCCACACGTATCCATCCCCCTGCTAGGCTTTTAATTTTTTAAAAATTTATTTATTTATTTATTTATTATCCTCACCTGAGGACATCCTTCCATTTTTTTTGTTCAGATAGAATGGGAGGGAAAGAGAGAGAAACATCAACGTGAAAGGGACACATCGAGTGGCTGCCACCCTCACGACCCAACCAGGGCCGGGGACAAACTGCAACTGAGGTACGTGCCCTTAGCGGGAACCGAACCCGGGTCTCTTGGGACCGCAGGCCGACGCTCTAACTGCTGAGCCAAACCGGCCAGGGCCCTGTTAGACTTTTTAATTCAATTTCTTTAATGGTGACATAGACTATTCAGGTTTTCTACTTCTTGAAGCTGTTTTATGAAGTTATATCTTCCTAGGAATTTGTCTACTTTCTCCACATTTTCAAGTTGATTAGCATAGTTATCAATAACATCCTCTTACTGTTTTAGCATCCACACTGTCTGTAATAAAGTTTTTTTCAGCCCTGATATTATTTGTGCCTCTTCTTTTTCCTTGATCAATTGTATCAGAGGTTTGTTGATTTTATTTGCCATAAAAAACAAATGGCTTTGTTAATTCTCTTTACTGAATGTTTATTTTTTTGTGTTAATTTCTGTTCCTATCTTTTATTTTTTCCTTCCTCCTACTTTCTTCAGGTTTACTTTGCTAACTTTTTAAACTTCATAAGATGGATACTTAGCTTGTTAATTTTTAGGCAATTTAATTTATTAATTTTAGGCAATTCTAAGCACTTGAGAATTTTATTATCTTTCTGTTATTGATTTCCAGTTTAACTGTATTGTGGTAAGAGAATATACTCTGTATGGTCTGAATCTGTTCGGATTTGCTGAGACTTGCATGAATTTGTAAATGTTCCTAGTGTGCTTGAAAAATAATGTATATTTTCAATGTTTTATATGTGTCAAATAGGACAAAGCCTTTGTGTGTGTGTGTTTATCATCACCCAAGGATATTTTTACCATTGATTTTTAGAGAGAGTGGGGTTAGGGAGGAGAAAGAGACAGAGAAATGTCAATGTGAAAGAGACACATCAATTGACTGCCTCCCACACATGCCTAGCCAGGGATGGAACCTACAACCCAGGTACATGCCCTTGACCAGGAATTAAACCCTCAACCCTTCAGTGAGTGGGCTGATGCTCTAACCACTGAACAACACCGGTCAGGGCAGGACAAAGCCTTTTTAATTGTGTTATCTAAATGCTTTATATCTTTAATTTTTAATACATTTGTCCTATAAATTACTGACACAGGTGTACTAAAAATAACCCGCTCTGATTATAGATTTTATTTACTTTAACTGTTAATTTTTACTCTATAACTTCTGATATTATGTTAGTGCATAGAAAGGTAAAATTATTATCTTGCTCCAGAACTGAACCTTTTGTAAAATGCCCTCTTTAATTTTGTAATGCTTTTGCCTTAAATTTTATTTTGACTTCTATTAACACAACTACACCAGCTTCCTTCTCCCCAGTGTTTGCAAGGTACATGTTTTTCTATTCTTTTACAGTACCTTCGACGTTTCTGTTTAAGAGAATTAGTTTAGAAATCCAATCTGATAATCTCTAGCTTCTAAGTGGAACAATTAATGTAATTAGTCTACTTACACTCACTGTAATTACTGATGTGTTAATAAAAACACAAGTCTACCAGCGTGTTGGGGTTCTGCTGAGACTCTCTCACGGGTTGCAGACTGTCCACTTCTCACTGTTTAACTCTCTGGCCTCGCCTTGCAAGGACAGTAATTCCATTCACGAGGGCTCTACCCTCCAGACGTAATTACCTCCCAAGCCCCATCTCCAAATACCGCCACACTGGGGGTTAGGGTTAGAATTTTAACCTATGAACTTTAGATGGACACAAACATTCAGTCCATAACACACAGTCCATCTCTCCATGTAGGTCTTTGCTGATTTATTCAAATAATATTTTCTATTTTTTAATATCTAGATCCTACACATATTTTGTTAGATATATACCTACATATTCCTTTTATGGGTACTACTGTAAATGGCACTTTTTATATTGATTCTCTTAGTTCTTTCTTTTTTGTTTAAATTAATTTATTTTTGTTACAGATGTTTCTCCTCCCCCCCCCCCTGATTCCCCCTCCCCGCCTTGTCCCCAGCTTTGTTGTCCATGTCCATTGTTCATGCATACATGCATATAACTTCTGTGGTTTATCTCTCCCCCACCACCCCCTCTTCTGGGGATTGTCAGTCTGTACCCTACTTCTGTGTCTCTGGGACAACCCCATTCTTCAGACTGTTATGTTCATTATATTCCACAAATAAATGAGATCATATGATACTTGTCTTTCTCTGTTTGGCTTGTTTCACTTAGGATAATACTTCCCAGGTCCTTCCATGTTGTCTCAAGGATAAGAGATCTTTCTTTCTTATAGCTGCATAGTACTCCACTATATATATGTACCACAGCTTTTTTATCCATTCGTCTACTGATGGATACTTGGGCTGTTTCCAGATCTTAGCTATTGTAAATAGTGCTGCTACAAACATGGGGTACATATATTCTTTCTGATTGGTGTTTCAGGCTTCTTAGGGTATATTCCTGGAAGTGGGATCCCTGGGTCAAATGGCAGTTCAATTTTTAATTTTTTAAGGAAACACCATAGTGTTTTCCATTGTGGCCGCACCAGTCTGCATTCCCACCAGCAGTGCACTAGAGCCCCGTTTTCTCCACACCCTCGCCAACACTTGTTGTTTGGTGGTTTGTGGATGGCGGTGTAAATGGCACTTTTTAAAATTTCAATTGTTCATTGCTAGTATATAAAAATATAACTGAATTTTTATATTGATCTTGTATAGTGCCAATTTGCTAAACTTGCTTAAGAGTTCTAGGTACATTTTTGATATTTTCTATAATCATATCATCTGCAATTAGAGATAGTTTTACTTCTTCTTTCCATCTGGATCCCTTTTCTTTCTTTCTCATGCTTTATGTTTTTTATAGTTCCCTGTTCCTTCCAGATAGTTTCAAACTTTTATTTATTATCTTCAAACAAAGTATGTGTGATTTTATAGCACATATTTGGTCATTCTGATATTCGATGCCATTGTGTCTGCCTCTCTTCTTTCCACTGTGTGGTAGTTTGCTAGGGTTACCACGGACTGGGACTTAAACAGCAGAACTGTTACTGTCTCACAGTTCTGGAGGCTGAAAGTCTGAAATCAAGCTGTCTTTGGCATGGTTAGTTCCTTGAAAGGGTTATGACAGTGATATCGATTCCATGTCTCTCCCCTAACTTTGGTGGTTTGCTGACAATCTTTGACATTCTCTGGCTCATAGATGCCATCACCCTGATCTCTGACTTCATCTTCACGTGGTGTTCTCCCTGTGTGTATGTCTATGTCCCGGTTTCCCGCTTCTATAAGGACATCAGTCACACTGGATTAGGGGCCCACCATCCTCCAGTATGACTTCACCTTAACTAGCTACATCTGCAAAGACCCAATGTCCAAACAGGGCCACATTCTGAGGTCCTGGGGGTTAGGACTTCAATATATAAATTTTGGAGGCACACAATTCAACCCATAACATGCTGGTTCTCATTCATGGTGACTTGCTGCCTTATATGACTGGTTATCACTGACTACATGCTTGTCATAGTACTGAAAATATTATTTTCTGTAATAATTTGGCCTTTGTTAGCAAAATAAGGTGAGTATAAATGGCTAATCTTTGGAAAAGATATACTGTAGGGAGATAAATGTTTTTTAGCATCAATTTTATAACTCTATCAAGACATACACAGCAATATACAAGTATCAGTAAACCAATCACATAATTGGGTAACTTTTAGGACATGTTATGAGATGATGGTTCATGGGCCGGGAATGTAGCTCAGTAGAGGATGTAGTAAGGTCTCCAGAAGAAGAAAAGCTACAGACGAGGACTCAAAGACTCTCCCTTGTTACTGCTATTCTTCTGGACAGTCAGGCTGCCTCACCAGTCAGCCTCCTCCCGGTCCCTTCAGATGGTCGTGGATGATGAATAATTCCATTGAGCCTCTCAAGTCAACCAAACGTGGGACAGGAATGAGAACAATTACTCTAACCACCATCCACGTTTGACAGAGAAGCAAAGGAGGACCCCCCTGAATTGCTCTCCAGTCGCCGTATGAAGGACCTAGGGGTGTCTGAGCATGCTGTGAACTGAACCCCACTCAGTGCAGAGAACCCCGAAGCCCTGGTTCTGCCAGCCCCTCTCCCCGTGCCACACCCAGGGAGGACCCTTGCCAGAGCAGGGAAGCAAGGCCCTTACCTGTGCTGTCCTCCCCAAGGCCCTCGGCGGCCTCCCGAAGCTTGAAGTCCATCACCCTTGTGGAAATCATGTCAGCTCCCTAAGATAAGATGGAAATTCACGTTAAAGGAACATGCTGAACAGAAGTTGGCAGTGAGTAAAACGGCGGTGGTGATTGCTTTCTGTCTACGAGCTCCCCTGCCCACAACCAGCAGGCTCCACGCAGAGGGCAGGGCGGCACCGCCCCAAACGTGCCCTCAAGATTAGCGCCTACACAGGCATCTGTCCACTCACGGACCAGAGCAATTCCATCAAACCAGGCAACTGGGACAAGTGTTTCAGCAACCTAGTGGCAGAAGAGCCACAGAGACGTGGCTTGTGGCTCGGGGAGCATGGTCAACAATGCCGAGACAGAAGGTCTGGGCCAGGCGGGAGCCTGAGGCAGCGGGGGCCACTCTGCAGAGCATGTGATTTTCTGGACACTTTGCTGTACCTCTGAAGCTAATACGAATTGTGTTGAATGTAAACTGAAAGTGAAAAATAAAAAAAATATATTTTTTGCCAATTTACACAATGCAGATTTGCTTCCTTTCTCTAAAAAAAACCAAAAAACAAAAAACCATTGTCAGAAACTATGGTTTTCTCTTGTTCACTGTAGAAAGCTTGGAAGATACAGAGAATAAAAACCACCCGTAGTCCTACCTACCAAGGGTACTACAGTTAACGTGTTAATGTACTTCTTACCACATTTTTTTCTACACACACACCACACTAGGGAGACTGACTTCCTGATTTTCTTGCTAATTTTTCCTAAGTGTTAATGTAATGGCTACATAATATTTTGATATAAAGCCACACCATCACTGCTTTACATTGAGTTTCTCTTTTGAACTTTGCAAGAAAAATTTCAAACAGATAAAGTAGAAATAATATATAATGAACTGAACATATGGTCACTGCAGATTCATCCCCACCCTTTCTTGCTCCTCCTCCACTAGGTCCTTTCGAAGCAAAACATCGCAGGTATGATTATTACGACATCCACACGCACCTGATGTCTTCCTAAATAAAACGCCTCTGACTCTGTATGGAAAGCACATGAATGGTTACTGGTCAACAGACTCCTGAGCTAACTGTGTCCCCACTTCCCACCGCTGACTGTTAAATGAGCACATACTAACTCACCACATATTTGGAAAGTGATTTCTTATTGGAAGTTAATATGAATCCTCACACTTAAAAGGGGAGCTCAGATGTTTAAATAATTAACATTTACCACTTGTGCACCACACGTTCAAGGAAATGATGGGAGGAATACAAAAAAAAGATTTAACCGGGGAAAGGAGTCCCAGGTCAGTGCCCGAGTTGGGTCTCACATTTAAGTCTCCTTTAATACTAATGTCGAAATATCCACCACCATCAGCTAACTCCTCCAAAGGTGAACAGAGGCTCATCAGCTTCACTTCTCAGTTTTCATACAACTCAGCCTCATAAAAATGTCTGGTCAACAGAACAAAGGAGGAAACCCCCACATAATCACCCCAGGTGATGCAGAAAACCATTTGACAAAATTCAACACCCTTTCATGATAAAAACAACAACTGGGAATAGAAGAAAACTTCCTCAACACAACAAAGGCCGCATACTAAAAGCCCACAGCCGTTATCTCTCAACAGTGGAAAACCCAGAGCTTCTCTGAGATCAGGAACTGCCCAGGGCGCACGCCCTCAGCACCTTAGTCAACACAGTACTGAGGTCCTAGTCAGCACTCAGTCAAGAACAAGAAATAAAAGGCATACACGTTAAAAGGAAGAAGTGAAATTACCTCCATTGGCAGATGACATGATCTTATACAAAGAAAATCCTAAAGATCCCCTCATCACAAAAAGTGCTGGGACAAACGAGTGAATTCAGCAAAGTTGCAGGACACAAAAATGAACACACAAAAATCAGTTGTGCTTCTAGATACTAATGAACAATCTGAAAAGGTACTTCAGAAGACAATTCCACTTATAATGGCATCAAAAAATAAAATACTTAGGAATAAACTTAATGAAGGAAAGACTTGTACACTGAAACTATAAAATGTTGCTGAAAAAAAGACAAAGGAATAGAAAGACATCTCATGTAGCCCGGCCAGTGTGGCTCAGTGGTTGAGCGTCGACCCCTGCACCAAGAGGTCGCCAGTTCGATTCCTGGTCAGGGCACGTGCCCAGGTTGTGGGCCCAATCCCCAGTGGGGGGCATGCAGGAAGTGGCCAATCAATGTTCTCTCTCATCTATGTTTCTGTCTCTCTCTCCCTCTCACTTCCTCTGTCTCTAAAATCAATAAAGAAAGATATTTCAAAAAAAGAAAGACATCTCATGTTCATGGATTGAAAGATGTAATATTGCTATGATGCCCATACTACCCACAGCATTCTAGATCCAATGCAATCCCATCAAAAACCCCTGATCCCACAGTACCCTGCTGCTCAATGACATTGTGGGGAGAAGGGAGAGGCAAGAGACTATAAGGAGCAGGCCGGAGAGTAAAAATGGTCAGGACCGGTTAAGAGTCAGCAGCTGTGACCCTGGGTACCATCCTCTAGAGATGCCTCTGAGCTAAAAGGTACGAGTGCCAGCTTTCCAATGCTTGACTTCGAAGTTAATCACAACTGCAAGGACTTTCCCAGCATGTACATACCCCCTGAAGTATCTCACGGAATTCCCAAGAACTTTTAGTTTTCCCATTTTGGAATTGAGACCATTTATTACAGCAGGCAGGTTTACTAACTGGCCCAAAGCAGTGAAGCGGCGACACTACCCTACATCCTCATGTTGGACATAGGTTGGTACATGGACCATGCTGATGCACACCCAGCATGGGCAGGCACCTTCAAGGCCTGGGATACAGTGATGGATGAGAGTGATGTGGTCCCTGCCTCTGGCAGGTGCTGACCCAGTGAAGGGACAGTCCTGAGCTGTCCCAGAGGAGCCTAAGACAAGCTGGGACATCCAAAGGACACGCATCTCCCACTGAAATGGCTCTGTCTGCCCAGCAGCCCATCCAGGGTCAGGCCAGGGCCCAAAGGCTGACAATCCCAGGAGACCATCCCCGGGTCTGAAAGGGCATCTGGGTCTGAGGAAAGGGGTTTGCAGCTGCCATGGTATGTCACCCAACACTCCTGAGAAACCATGGCGTTACCTTCAAAATGTCCAGTCATCTTTGGCCGTTTTAATGAAACGTCCCTTGGTGGGAAGTGCTGAGAACGTGGAGGTACATGAGCGCGTGTGTGCCAGCCCTGTGGGTGGGTGTGAAGGGTGCCCCACCCACGGGGTGGAGTAAAGCCAGAAGCTTGCTCTTGCTCCCCCTGGGCTGGGGATAAAGCCTCACCGGCAGGGGGCCGAGGAGTGGGGGGGCCGGTGGAGGCCGGCTGTAAGCACATCCTGCTGGGCAGATGCAGAGAGCATGGCCAATGCCTGGGCTGGTAGCGTCCCACACGGAGGCAAAGCCACTCCACAGACAAAGGGATGACAAACGGACTCACCTCGCGTGGGAGGTTTTAAAACCTGCTCAAGTTTTATGTTCAAAACATCTTCACGCTAACAAGAGTGCACCTGGGTGCAGGGGAAAGAGACCAAGACTCGGAGGTCAGGTTGCTCTGGGGTTAAGTCCTCAGCCCACCAGTTACCATTGTTGAGCCTCAGTTTCCTCATCTACAAAATTGGGATAACCCTTTAACTACCTGGGACGGACAGCACAGCACAGACAGGCGCTCCTGAGAACAGTGGGTGGTTTCTGCAGCTTGTTCACCACGTGCTCACATACCTGCACAGACAGGAACACACAGCGGGCACACCTGGCAGCCGATGAGTGTCCACTGTCTCATGAAAACGGTGTCCTGTGCAAATGGATCACTTAGAGCCACCACGATCAAGCAAAGATCAAAATACCTGGATTCGCAGATGAGCCCAAGCTGCCCCAGGCCCCATAGTCTGATGGCCGCGAGGCAAACTACCACAGAGCAATGAGTGAAAACATTCCAGGCCCTGGGGGCGGTCAGCCCTCTGAGACTGTGGGGTGTGCACATGGAGGACTGTCCCCTTCACTCGGACACTCCAAGTGGAAACCCTCCGCTGCTGTTACAGCGAGATGACTTCTCTGTGGGCCCAATAACCTGCCCTTCCAAACACACGTTCCCCCACCCCGCGTACCTTTCAAGAAAAATCACAGTCACAAAGGCCACGTGGCAAATGCCCACTGTCTCCCAGCATCCCTTTGCTTCTCACTGGAACTCGAGGTTCAAATCAGGCCGCCCCACATCCCCTGCACCAGCTGCTGCCCCCCAGCCTCCCACCGCTGTTGTTCTGACCGCTCAAGTTCAAGTACAGAAAACAGTCTTTAAATCTGGACCTGCGGTGCCTCTTCAGGGGTTCTAATTAACTCAAAGGGTGCTGCGCCCCCAGCGCCCTGCACAGTTCATGCACCCATCAGTGTGTATCTGGGCGCCTACAGAATCTGGGAGGAACTTCCCTCCAAAGAAGGCTCCGGGGGAGCTGTCCCTCGCCCTCTCCCTGAACCCTCACTGTCACCACAGGCTTCTTCCAAGCTTATGCAGAACGCCAGCATTAGCTGCAGCTTATATTGAAAAATTCTACAAAAGTTCATTCATGTGAGAAACGAGAATAGATTTTCCTATAGTACTTTAAAGGTTTCAATCTATGTTTTTCTACACAATGCAAAAAGCCCGATTACATGCCTCTGAGCATGTAATTATGCATGAAAGGCTGGGTGTCCACCCTGCTGACTGGCTAATTCCACACCATCCTGCAGGCCGTGGTCACATCCCTGCGGCATTCTTTCTCAGCCCAGAAACTTTCTCTGTAACGCTCACCCAGGCTGCCTAACATCACCCTCCCTTCGCAGGCCGTGTGTTTGGTGGGGCGAGCTTTATGCCTGTCACATCCACGAGCCCTTATCAGCACCAAGGACAGTGCCCAGAGCACAGTACTGAGCACAACACTCTAAAAGACAGGTGACAAACTCCAGGGGCTTCTGGAGATGATCACCATAGGTACAAACAACAACAACAAAAAACAGTCATCCGTT